TCCTTGTAGGAGGGTTTTTATCGGGAATTCAATTTCTCTAACTGATCCAGGACTGATCAACTTTTCTATTTCTTTTTGGGTCAGTCTGGGTAATTTGTATCTTGCAAAGGATTTGTGCATTTTATCTAAGTTGTCAAATGCTGGCATAAAGTTATTAGTGAATTCCCTTACTATCATTTACTGCCTGTGCCATTGTCGGGACATTTTACCCAGCCCCACCCACCCCACTCCTCAAAAGCAGCGTCGGGCAGCACAGAAAGGACCTGACTTGGTCTCAAGGAAGGAATTCTCTTCAACTGTGTTTCTCAATCACGCTGCCATGGGATGGGCAGGAGACATCTTAAGCCCTCCCTTAATTTGAACTTCAAGATACACTCAATATAGTGACGGAAACCGTGTCAAAGATGCTCTCCAGCAATACTCTCCTCCCACTTCCAGCTCTCCGAGACAAGCTGTTCTGCGGCTCCGCCCCGAATGCCTCAGCAAGATCCTGCAGGGCGTCCTCCCCACCCTGTTCTGACCTCGCAAAGGCACAGCGACCATCAGTGGCCTGAAGTGCTGCCATCCAGTGTCTCGGAACATTCCTCCTTCCACATGTTGTCTCCTCCCCACTCACATTGAGTCCTCATCCAAGCACAGGTTCCACGAGAATAGGTGAAGAGGTCTCTTGAAAACTGCCTGTTCCAACGGCTCTGCCCCATGAGGCCCCTGCACCCACTCCCCTCCCCCTGTCCCAGCACAGCGCCCAACGACCCCTCGTCATCCTGGCCTCTGACTGCCAGCGCCCAGCTGAGCCGTCTGATGGGTCTTTCCTCCCCAGCCTCTGATCTCTCATCTACAAAAAGAGAATGACAATAGTGAGGCCCATCAAACGGGGCTGGGCACCAGATCCAGCCGCATGGACGGCACCCCGAGAGGCCTGCAGCCAGAAGTGCTGAGCAGATGTCAGCTATGATACTGTTAGGCGAGAGAGAGAGAGGTGGGAGGGTGAGAACCAGGGGTAGGCGACATGCAAATAATTCTGAACTAGTTCTCTTCAGAAAAACATTTGTGCAAGAACCCCAAACCCGACTAGTGTCTGAAAGGCTGCGTCCCTGAGGTGCTGGGCAATGTCCTGCTATGGGCCCGCTCCAGAGCGCCCAGGTGTTCCAAGATTCCTCAGGTGAGAGCCAGGCTATGCGCCGAGATCAACCAGGAGAGAGCCAGCAACCCGTGGGGGCCTTGGGCAGACTTCCTTTCTGGGGGGTGGGGGTGGGGTCACTGGTTTGATGCCCTGTGGGCAGAAGCACCTGCAGGAACGGCCCAGTCAGCACCTCTGCTTCAGTGCCAGCTGGAGGCCTCCACCCCATACAACCTGCAGAGCACGACGCCCAGGCAGGCACCTGGGCTGGAACTAAGAGGAATCAATCCACGACCAGCCCACTCCTTCCTCCTCTGGCTGGTCACACAGCAGCAGGACAAGGCAGGCACAGCAAGCACTTGATGCAGTGGGGACAGACACTCAGGGGACAGGGATGGCTGCAGAGGGAGAGGAGGGGCCCCTGGGAGATGACAGAGGTGTTCTTAAGGTGTAGAGTTGCGCCCTATATCATGACGTTTCGGTCAACGATGGACCACACAGCCTGGCGGTCCCGTAAGATCAGCACCACACAGCCTAGGTGCGCAGTGGGCTGTGCCATCTAGGTTTGTGCAAGCACACTCTAGGATGTTCGCACAACGACGACATCGTCTAACGACGCAACTCCCATAACGTACCCCCGTCAGTAAGAGACGCGACAGTATTGCGGCCTCACTTGCTCTGTCTCTGTGGATCTGGCTCTTCTGACATTTCACTAAGGGGGATCGTGCGCTACGTGGCCTTTGTGTCTGGCTCCTTTCACTGAGCATCATGTCCTCAAGGTCCATCCATGTCGTGGCGGGTGTCAGCGCTTCATTCCTTTGTGTGGCAGAATCAGATTCCACTGTCCGGACAGACATTTTGTGTATCCATTCATCCCTCGATGGACATTTGGTTGTTTCCACTTTTGGCTGTTTCAAATGATGCTGTTAGGAATGTGCGGGTGCTGGTTCGTGTGTGGAAGAGGGACATTTTGGGAGGCCAGACAGTCTAGCGGGGTAGATGTCCGTAACTTGGGCCGTGCCCGTGGGCAAAACCCACTGACGCAGGGAACACAGTCTGATGGTCCAGTGCTCACACACGAGAACACCCAACAGTTCGTCCTGGAAGGGACGCAGAGGAGGAAGAGTCCTGTTCCTTAAGACACGTTGTCAGTGCCTTCTCAGCAGAGGCCAGGAACCACGCAGAGGAGCAATGAGGAAATGAGGCGTGGCCGGGGGTGCACTTTATGACTTTATGACTCAGTTCCCACTTGAGTTGGACAACCAGCCCCAAACTGACCGAGGTGGGTCCCGGCAGGGGAGAGTGGAGAACGGAACGAGGTCAAGGTCTCCGTCATTCACGCACTTCCAGACATTGAATGTGCACGTCTCACACGCAGAGCTTCTGCCTCCTGCTGGTATCTGCAAAGAAAAGTCCGTCGCCTGATCCTGCCCTTGGCACTGAGGGGGACTAGGCCACAGTGGGGATGCTGCAGGCCAGAAACAAGGCGACACAGCACACCGTCCAGTGAGCCTTGTCCTCCTGCGCCCCAACCGCCAATTCAGAGCAGATGGCCTCGGGGCACAGACGTCCACGTGGGGAAATAAGTCAGATGCGCGGAAACGGAAGACATCCGTGCTAGTCTGAAAGACAGGATGTGATGGGAGGCAGGTGCGGAGAAGTGGGGGTATCCGAACGGGAGATGGACGGTGGGCTGGAGAGGGATCCAGGCCAGTCCTGGGAGCTGGGCTGTAGAGGCGGGCCCCCTTGGACACATGCGGGCCTTCTCTCTGAGTGAGGGTCTCACCACCCAGTGGAAACCAGCAGTCACTGCCCTTCCTGTGCTCACACTTTTAGGTCTGTTGCCCCGTCAGTCCTCAGATAGCCACTCTGAGCGCCGCTATTACTACCAGCACTCACAGGAGGAAACCGAGGCCCGAGAGCTAAGAAACGCACTCTAACGAGGCCTGATTCTGAAGTCTAAACACTTTCCCCTCCGCGCTGGACGACTAACTGCTGGAGGGATGAGAGTCGGCCGCTCTGCGAGCAGCTGCGTTCACCCCGTAGTTCGCGCCTACACGCGGGCTGGCTCGGCTGCAACCCAGGCGGGTGGAGGGCTTGTGGGACGGCTGTTCTGGCAGGGGTGGATGTAACCACAAGCAAGGGGAGGGGCCCACGCGGGGAAGGGGCCACGGGCGCGGGAGGCAGCGGCGCGGGGGGCTCCTGGCCACGGCGGCTCTCGTGGGCTGGCTCAGCTGGCACTGACAGCTCACGGCCCTGGAGAGGCTGCCACGTCCGTCTGCCAGCAGCAGCTACAGCACAGATGGAACACATTCGCAACCCCTCTGGACACTGGAGAAGGAGCCAAACCATACACAGGCCTCCCAGTTGAGGCAGCTGGAGAAGACCAATGGGTCGGGGCAGCGGGGTCAGCCAGGCCCTGTGCTCCTCCAGTAGCTCAGAAATCTCCTCGCAAGGCTGGGAGAGTTCACGGGGAGAGCTCGTTTTACTACATCAGGGCTCTCAGAGGAAGAAAAGCCCAGGGCCAGAGCTTGTGGGAGCAGGAGGCAGGACAGACCCCGAAGTGTAAGCTGGGGCGGCCACTGCCTCCCAGGAACTCGCTCTTCTAAAGAAAGCCCCGGATTTCACTCAGGATTGTGGACAACGTCCCACAATGCCAAGCAGATGGGAGCAGAGCCGCAGTGCCCACCCACGAGTACTGTCCACTCTCACCTGCCCTGCTGTCCCACCCCTGGTCCCACACAGCCCATGGATGGGCTGACTGACGAGGCCCACCTGTTCCATTGTTTGGAGGGGTCCTTACAACAGCAGTGGGGGCAGCAACTCGAAGGGACGGGGGCCTGCGGCCCCCATCGTGTAAGTGCAGAGCACGCCCCAGGGCTGCCTGTTCTGACTCAGAGCCCAACGGCCCTGCAGGGCCGTGCATGCCTCTTCCACTCTGGGTCCTCACTCAGGGCTGAGCACAGGGCCTGGCTACACGACCCGTCCCAGGCTGGTTCTCCAGACAGACCAGGAGGCCTAGGAGGCACCCAGGCTCCAGCTCTTGCTCTTGGGCTGGAGGCCCTTCCTCCGTCACTGGCCGGAGCTCGCTCCCTCAGGGCTTGACTTGAGGCTGGATCCCTCTTGGGTGCACAGCTCGGTATGCCAGTGGGAGGGGCTGATGGCCACGGGGCTCTAACAACAAGGCACCTCGTCTCTCGGAAGCTGGGAGAACCAGAGACTGACAGAAGCCCAGCTCCCTCTCCAGCCTCAGGTCTCCCATCTCTGCGGGAAAGCAGCCCCTGCCAGTGGTCCTCAAACTTCCGCAAGGATCCCCCTCTCCTGTGGCAAGCTCCAGAGCAGTCTCTCGGCCCCAAGGCTCTGGGAACAGAGGCCTCAGCTGGCTTGAGTCCTCAGGTGCTCCCAGCGCCGACACCACAGCATCCATGTGGGGCATGTGTTGTAGGAGACATTCAAACCAACAGCCTCTGGCCCAGCCTGGGCTCAGCTGACGGAGCCTGTGTGCGCCTCCCGGGGCCTCTGTGGTTTCCACGGAGCTGCCGCGGGCCATGGACACCATCCGTGACGCCGGATGGGCTGAGCGCTGCACAGGAAGGCCCCCAGTGCGCTTGTATCTTATGCAGGGCAAGCTTCATAGAAGAGACTTGGACACCCAGTGGGGGAGGCGTTTAAAGAGGAGTCACGCTTTAGTTTCCAACCAGGGCTGCCGGGGAAAGCTACAGAGGAGGGGACACGAGTTTCCAAATCCGTCTTGGAGCTCTCACCTCCTTTTGGCAGGGCCACTCCTTTCGGAATCTGGGGGCCCCCGACCACATCCCGATTCCCCTACTGACTGAGCCCTCGCTGCCCCATCCTCGGTTAATCCCTCCAAAAGTCTTACCTGCCTGGCGCCCAGCCTCCTCGGCAAGGTTCGGGTGAGGAGGGCGAGGGTGAGCAGACACGGATGACCCCGCGCATGGAGAAGATCTGCCACGAATGGTCCTTCTCTCTGGGCAATCGCGCCCTGACTCTGCCTGACCTGAGTGAGGTTCCAGGCACAGCCTGCTGGGTGATGAGGAGTCGTCCCTGGCTCCACGTCCAGGACTCCAGCTATCTGACGTCCACCCTGCTGTTGGGGGCAGCAGGCAGCCCCCGGGTCGAGGTGCCCGCTCGGGCCTGGAGCCGAGGCTCTGGGGGAGGCTGGCGGGCACTGCCTCTGGCAGACAGGTTGTGAGCGCTTTCCCACGTGCCATGGGTGGGGTTTGGGTCCTATTTTAAGTTGCAGACGTTGCCTGCTTTCTGGGAGGGACGTTCTGTGAAGGGGCCAGCGTGTGGATTCTGCAGGAAACCGCTGGAGGCCTGGACCCTGGGAGCACAGCACACACACCGCTTTTCTGTCTGCAGCGCCAGGCCACCTCCCTAAGTAGGTCCATCGGAACGTTTCTGGGTCACATGGCCAAACCATACTCTGCCTAAAATGCAGTGTGTGTGGTTTGAATGACTTAAGTGCGAATTCCTGTTTTCCTCGCAGAACTGTGGGTTTCTGTGCCGCCTGTTTTCAGGGCACAGAGCGGCTGCAGGCGGATGAGATCGCGCGGAGAGAAGGCGGCAGCAGCAAGCAGGCCCCCTCTCCCTGAGAGCAAGACCCCTCGGCGGGCGCACGACCCAGAACAGGCTGCGAGCGGGGCCCGCGCACAGGTGAGCTGTTGGCCCTTCTCGCTCTCTGAATTGAGGTTTACGGCATTTAAAGCTAGCGGGGAGACCGGAGAGATTAAACAGCTCAGAGAAGTTTCTCTCTGAAAACGAAGTTTGTTTATGCTATAGGCTGGTTCCAATAAAGAATAAAATGAAGTTTATTTTTCTAGCATTTGGAACTGGAAATGACTGAGCAGACTGCTCAGGTCTTCCTCATTAAGAAAAGATGAACGGTGCCTATAGTTCTGTCTCCAGAAGACGGAGCTAGAAAAGGTTTGTCAACTGTCAGAAACCCATCCGGCGCTGACCGGCGCTGCCCCATAGACTCCGACGCCTGGGTCTCAGTCCTAGGGCAGTACCTCGGGGAAGCGTCAGTCCGGCGGCGCATGATGGACGTCCTCTGCAGGCACATCTGGAACGTGTACGTTTTCATGGGGCATAAACCCTGGAAATGGAGGGTTCTTGCCACGATGGCGGTGGGGCGGGGCCGGGAGCCCAGACACGGTTTTTCCACACAGAGGAGGGCCGGGCGGAGCCTGGGAGGCAAGGTTTGAGTTTGCAAACCGAGCAGGGTCCCGGCCAGCCTCCTGCACAAGGCGGGCTTTGTGCTCCAGTCATGCTTGGGATGACGTGGAATGCAGGAAGGAAAGGTCGCCCGGGACTACCTGAGACCTCTCCGTAAGCTGCGGGAGCCGACCGAATGCCCCCACCCCACCCCCAGGCCAGCTCCCCTCGCCTGACAGCATCTTCATAAAGATGCTTGGTGCTATACAGCTGACGCATGCCGGGGGCTTGGCGATGTGCCCAAGATGCCCGGCCTGTGAAGCGGACACCTGGGCTTCGCCAGGGCAGACAGGGGGTGTCCACCCACCCTGGGACAGGGACCACCGTGACTGCTCAGAGCTCCTGAGGAGGCCCCAGGAGCGATGCCTGCAGACCCCTGGGGCCAGGGCTGAGCCGGGGCAGGCTACCCATCCAGCCCAAGTGGACCTTAACTTAAAGCCCAGGGCCAGCAGGGCCTCCCGCAGCTGCCCCGAGGGGCCCAGCAGTCTCCCGTGCCCACTCCGTCCTGCCCTGCCCCAGTGAGGCCGTCAGGGCTGGCCGAGTGAACGGTTGCTCAGAGCTGCGAGCCAGTTGCCTCGGGCTGCAGAGGGTCCACGCAGCAGAGCCGGGCGGGGCCTAGAAGGTAGCAATGGGAGGATGGAGACTGAAAGAGAGGGGACCCGTGAACAGCGCCTGCCCCGTGCCCTCAGGGCCACATGGCCTGTAAGACGGTGCTGCCTCACGGCCAAGGCGTCCCTTGTGGCCTGGTGGCCCCATTCTGCACCCCAGCACTGCAAGCGCGGCCTATTGCTACAGGGACTCGGCAGCCATGGCTGGGAGGTGGAGGACGGGAAGCCAAGTCCAGCACAGTGGCCTGGTCCCCGCATGGGAGCAGTTCCTCTCCTGGCTCAGCATGAACAGCCTCAGGACAACAGAATCAACACAGTCCTTTGAGACCCACACACAGTGGGGCAGCAGGAGGCCACCAAACACCAACGTCCTTCTCTCTCTGAGACCCGCACACAGTGGGGCAGCAGGAGGCCGCCAAACGCACCGTCCTTCTCTCTCGACATGAGTGACTGGGATCCTTCACCAGTCCTGCCGCAACTGCCCGGCCTGCCCTCCCACAGCCAGTTGCTGAGCAGCCCATGGGACACCCCACTTCTTGACAGCATCTGTGTGGGAGCACACCCCGCCTCCTGGGACCCTCCTCCAGTCAGCCACCCAGCCTCGAATCCTGCAGTGGGGCCTCCTCACACCCTCCTCCTGCGACAGCACGAGGCTCCCTGGGGCGCACGCTCACCCTCCTGGCGCGAGCCCAGCCTGTCCCACACAGCGCCAACTGCAGGTGCTCTATGGCCATGGTGCCACGGACTGCGGGGACGGGCCGGGTCAACTGGCGCCCAGGGCCAGGCTCCTGACAGCAGCTCGGTGAGTGTGTGCTGCCTGTTGGTGTGAAGTCGCATCTTTCAAACGGGGGTGGGTTTGCAAAAGCTGAGTTCTTTCAGGCTCAGCTTTGGGAAGGAAGGGCTGTATTCACAACACTTTAAAGTGCTGACAAACTAAGGGACCACAGGATTTCCGGCAGACACAAGATGGTCACCCCTGGACTGGAGACCCCTCATCCCCTCCACCCTCGGACCAGAGCCAGGACCAGAGGATTCTCACGGAGCTGGGGGTGGTGGAAAGAATGGGCCTTGAGGACCAATGAGGAGCACGCCCCTTCCCCGTGTCTCCTGAACACCCAGGGGCCGGGCTGGGGAAGGGCTCGGCTTCAAAGGGAGACAACGCGGCCCACAGACATCTGGGGCTCAGCTCCTCCCCTGAGGGAGGGGAGGCCTTCCACAGGCGTGCCCTGGGCTCCCACCTGCACAGGAAGCACAATGTGCCCACAGAGGCTGTGGGGACCGAGGCTGCGGATGGTCCTCTGCCCCAGGCAGGAGCCGGTGCACCCACATCCACTGTGTGGAGAACAGGAGCTCCGGGCACGGCCGGACCAGGTGAGCTCTGTGTCTCCTGGAGGCACACGTGTGTGCATGTGTGCGTGTGCACACGTAGGTGTGTCTGGGAGACAGACAGAGAGGCACATGCTTTGGAAGACTCAAAAGGAGCAAAATGGAACTTGTCCGTCCTCGTGCTTCAGTGAGGTTACCCCCTGCCCATAAAGCACAGCTGCTGGGGCTGAGTCTGAGGGCAGCCAGCAGGGGTGGTGCTGGACACCATGTCTCTGCAGAAGCAGCGCGAACAGGCAGAGGGCCATGCTGCCTGCCGTGCTCCCTCCCCTGCCCAGGCCCCACATGAGGGTCAAGGACAGCCCTGGGGCTGGCTCCCACATGCCACCTTGCCCTCAGTCCCAGACCACACCCCACGCCCTGCACCCCTGCAAGTTCGTGCCCACCACCGTAAAGCTGGCCAGGGCTGGACGGCCGGGGCCCGCCATGTACGGGCTGACACGGTGACTCACCCTGCCACTTGGCTCCCGGTCTGCAGGGACCACAGGGGACTGAATGGAAACGTTTATGCAGTCAACAGCAGAGGCATAAGAAAGCTGATCCCTGCCAGAGGGCTCAAGGGAGGGCGGCGCTGGCCCCGGGGACAAGGGGCTGGTGCCCGGGAAGACAGAGGCAGGGCTCTCTCCAGGGCCCCGGACAGAAGGCCGTTGACGGTGCTCGCCCAGTAACTCAGCCCCGGCCCACTTTCCCACCACTGGGTTAATACAGAGTGTCTAACGCGGTCACCGCATCCTCGTCTGCCTTTAACACTGTGAATTGGTGGTGAAGCAACAATCACAGCCAGACTGTGTGCTAAGCATCTATAATCTCTAGACAATGCAGCTCAGAATGACAATTCCTAAAAGAGTCGAATCTGAGACCAATGGGACTGCGGGCCTGAAGGTGACAACGTGCCCACCCAGGCAAGCTGAGGACACGCAGGGTCACCTGGGAGAATCCTGACTTCAAAGGTTTATGCCCTTCTTGTGCAGAAAAAGAACTCGAGAGCCTTTCTGGGGTGAGGCCCAGGATGGGAAAGGACCCCAATAGCAAAAATTCACAAACAACTTAAATGTCCACCGTGGGGGATGGTTAGTAAATTACTGTCACAGTCCTGTGGTGGTTACTCATCCATTAAGATGACAATAAAACCAGGCAGAAGCACGGGAAACATTCAATAACCAAGGGCTAAGAGGATCAGCAGGACTCCCACGGGACTGAAGTCCCGACTGTGTGAAAACAGGTCGGTAACAGGAAGTGATCAGTCATGAGGGGGTAGCTGCCCAGGGAAGGGCCCGAGGGAGCAGGGCCCGGACCTGGGGGCTGAGAGGGACCCAAAGGCCAGGAGGACCACCCAGAGCCCCCTGGGGAGGAACGGGGGCCCACGGAGGAGGCAGGGAGCCAGCACTTCCTGTGCCGACGCAACTCCCTTGCTCTCATGGTTGGGCCGGGCCACCTTCTAACTCTGGGGAAGCAGTCCCTGGTGAGGTGGGGCCCCTGCTCCCCAGAACCCTTCTGAAAGGCTATTTAAGGAGCTGCAGCCAAGAGCTGCTGTAAAGAGCACAACATTCTCAAGGCTCTGGCCTTGGGGAGCTCCCAGGGGACCCCAGAGCAGGGCCTTGGCAGCCCTCTGTGCGGCTCAGGAAAGGGTCCGGCTCTCGGCCTGAAACTGGCCAGGAGATCCAGCAAGGGGGTCGGCCATGGAGGGTCGGTCCATCCTCCCAGGGGTTCTGAACCTCTTCTGCTGGGCCTGCAGCACTGCGTTACACGAGCAGGTTCCGGCAGGAAGGCTGGCGGCACGGCCATGGGGGAACAGCTTGACACAGTGTCACACGCACTCTCAGGGCAGAACCAGCAAGTGTGCTGCGAGGCATTCACCCCAGAGAAAGGAACTTTACCCTCATACAAAAACCTGCGTGCAACGTTTAAGGCAGCTTCACGCACAACAGCCAGAGCCTGGAGACAACCCAACGTCCCTCAAAAGGTCAATGGACAGACTGCGGTGGTGTGTCCACAGTCGGTTCTGCTCAGTGCAAAGGGAACGAGCTGACCACGCACATCACACTGAGTCTCGACGCATCAGGCCAAGAGAACAGCCAGACTCCGAAGGTGCTGCGCACATGGATGCCACTCCCGGGATGTTCCGGAAGAGTCCAAATACAGAGCAGGGCAGGGGCTGAGGGGCTGGGGTGGAGGGCGGGGCTCCCCACCAAGGACCCACACAAGGGAATTTTGGGGTCCTGTGCATGGTCGTGTTCACCTGATCAGAGGTGCAAACCTCACTGCATGTAGGTTTTTCAAAACGTACAGGTTCTTGGGCCAAGCTGCCTAGGTTCAGATCTCGATGCCATCGTCAACAGTGTGTGACCGAGCAAAGGACTTCCTCTGTGACGTGGTCACTGCAGCTGTAAAGAGGGGTCGTAACTGTCCTGCCTCGTGTGGACAGCTGTGAGGCTGGAGCAAATGGTCACATGGAAAGTGCCTCGAACAGCGTGGGCACGTGTGAGGCCTGAGTAAGTGGGGACGACCTTCCAGCCGGGGCCCTGGCCACTGAGCTCATCTGCATCTCTTCTCTGTGCCCTGGCCCCTCGCTTTTAGGGGTAGGAGGGAGACTGACAAGACCAAAGAGGAGCCCGGGATAGAAGGGAGCTGGGCATGGTGGTGGCGGCTGGGGGAAGAGCTGGAATCGTGGCCAATTTTGAGGAAATGTCTTCCATGTTTCGTTATTTTATCCTTCCAAATAAAACCCAAAAGCGGTGGTGAGGAGAGAGGTGGTCCAGCACAGCAGACGTGACGGCGACCAAACCCAGACCCCGGTGTCACCTTGGGCTCCTAGGAGGGCTCCGCTGGTCAGACTGTGAGACAAGGGGGTGGGGGTGAGTGAGGCCCAGTAAGTGGGGTGTGTGCCCAGGGACACCACTGGAGGAGGGCTCGGCGCCCCTCAGACCCAGAGGGGGCAGACGAGTGAGCCCGCCAACTCTTCCCCAGACTTGCCTCCCAAGATTGGGGATTCAGGAGCATGTCAGCTCTCCCCTGCCGGGACACCTCATTCCTGGCCCGATTCTGGAGGCACAGGCAGGTGCAGGGAGGGGAACCTGTGTGGGTTTGCACGGTACTTGAGGCCACGAATTCCACCTTTTGCTCACACAGCCTGGGGGGCAAAAGGATCAGAGCTCAAAACCTGGGTTAACTGCACGAGGGCCCGGCGCAGCACAGAGAGAACAGAGGCCTGGCCTTGCGTGCTACTGGGACGTAACCAGTCCCAGCCTACCGTGCCCGGCGCCCACCTGGGTGCGGGTTTCTGTGTGGCCGTCCTTTCCTTGAATGTTCCAAGGCCTGGGAAGTGGCTGGGGGTGCCTGTCGTACAGCAGGGGACGCTGAGACCCGAGATTCTAGGCAGCCCGCACACAACAAGCAAGTGTCGGCGCCAGAACCACTCCTGTCTGTGGCCACAGGCACATGGCCTCTTGGCAGACAGCTCACCCCATGGGGAGAGAGGAAGGAGAGGAGGCCAGAACGCCCCTTCACCCAGACGAGGAGGCCCTTACCCTGCAGAAAGGCGGAGGAGGGGCAGGGAGCCTCGACAGGCCTTCCAGCCAGCAGCAGCAAGGAGCCCAGGATGCCCCCCAGGGCCGGCACCAGACACATGCGCTCCTTCCACCCGGCTGGTGACCCAGAGCCCGGCCACCAAATCAGATAAGGATCTGGGTCAGGGTCAGGTGGCCCCTGACCATGAACGCCCCAAACACGACCAGCAAGGACGCCATATGCCCCAGAAAGTGCCTGGAGCACTGGCCAGCTGCGGGGACTGGATACCAGGACGGCTGGTGCTTTTTCTGACCTGTGGTCAATGTTCACAAGATCTTCTTTCCGATTTGCCTTAATTAAAGAAACATTCCAAATCACTTCCTCTTGCTCTGGCCACTCTTCTTAATTTCGATGTCACCCAGTGTCCTGGGAGTCACAAATCACCTTAAGCACCAGCAGATGGAAAACATCACCATTCACCATGTGTCTCTCGAACCAAGAAAGGCAGAGCCGTGCCTGGAGAATGGGGGTGCCCAGCCCCTCGGCAGGCCTGTGGGATGGAGAGAGGGTTAGGACGAGGCAGAGCTCTCTGTGCACCCAAGTAAAGCACGCATGCCAAGGCAAATACATGGTACGCAACATCTGTAGGGTGCATGCCAGTGTACGGTGTGCACACGAACGAGAAAGGTGCGTGCATGGGGCGTGTGCAGGCACTGAAGGCATCTGTGCCACAGGGAGAAAAGTCAACAACAAATCCACAGATGCAAAGATCCCACAGGCTAGACAACATGTGTGTAGAATACACATTTCCACACGCAAAGTCTGGGGGACACAGGGTCAACAATTCGGGAAGATGTCACATGTCGGGAAGAAAGGCCATCAGTTTGCTCTCTACTTCTAAGTGACTGCCAGCCTGGCCCAAGCAAGGACACGCTCCAACCCACACATGGCCTCACATGGAGGGACCCCTGCGCCCCATCGCAGACCGTGGCCTATGGCTGCCCCCTCAGAGAAAATGAAAATGGGCAGAGGAGCTAGGCCCACCTTTGAGCATTCCAGGAAAATTAAGTTTCCCATTTTATTGCCTTCAATTTCCTTTGAATAAACAGCAATGCTATCTTCTAGCCTCATCTGCTATTTAGTTAAAATTTAAGAGGGAAGGGACATTTATATGGAAATGAAATTATTTCCATGACAAAAGCTGCCGAGGAGGGCTGAGTCTGTCGTGTTGTTATTTAAAGCCGTGCCCTGGCCGCAGGACCTTACCGCTCAGCCCCTGCAATAAACCAGCCCGGTGGGGGCATCCTGTCCGGGGCAGCACCCAGGCACCCGCTGCTCCAGCCCCTAGAGTCTGCTTTGAGAGCAGAGTCCCTCACAGAGGCCAGAATGGTCAGAATTTCTTGGGTCCAAAAGCCCGAGGACACGTGCCAGCTCAGCTGCCGGCCCCCAGGCAACGCGGTCTGGCCATTCCTCCACGAGGGCAGGAGCAGGAGGCACCGGGTGGGCTCAGATCCGGAACTCCAGTCCCTGGAAAGCCTTCACCGACTCCTCTTCGGGGAGATAAAGGCCTCCGGTGGGCACGCCTCAGAGAGCAGGACTGGGACGTGGCGCACTCAGAAGACCCGTTTCCTTTACGAGCGACAAGGTTCACTTTGGTGTGGGGCGAGGAGGGAGGGGGGTGCCCTTGTGCCCCTCCCCCCAATCTCACAGGCACCTGGGCCCCCTGCTCTAGTGGCACCCACCTCAGTTCGTCCCAAAACCCACCACAGGGAAACCGGCTGTCAACACCAATTCCTGTGCCCACTCGCTCTTGGTGGGAATCACGTTGGACGCAGAAATCTTCCTCCCAGAGCTCCCAGAGCATCCCTCGCTTAGGGGCACTGGGCTGGGCAACGCTGCCCCTCCTGCCGGGGCCGTCCTCTCCATGCCCTGACGAGTGACCCCACGTAACGCTGCGGGGTGTGCTTCTCTTACAGGCTGGACGCTGCCCAAGATGAGCTCCCACAACATGTCCTGGATACAGTACCCGAGCCGCGTCTCCACGGCTGTTGAAGACGTCATAGCTTCGCAGAGCGTCGTCTCCCGGTGTGTGCATGTCTACGTGGCTCTGTTCGTCCCGGTGAGCCTGGTGACTGGGCTGTTCAACCTGACCACCTTCCTACGGGGCCGTGCCAGGCTGGGGGGCCTGGACATGTTCCTCTCAGACCTCACCGTCACCAACATGCTGGTGACACTGCTCTCGCTCACCGCCATCAGCCGGCCCGACTACCTGGCCACAACCAACCTGAGCTGCGCCGTCCTCTCCTTTCTGGCCAACGTCTGCTACTTCAATGCCCAGTATGTGCAGCTGGCCATGCTCTTTGCATTCCTGCTGCAGGGCCCCTCATCTTGTCTGCGTGCGGCCACCAGCGGGGCCCAGAGGCCTGCGGCAGGGCTGGCTGCCCTCGGGGGCTGTGCCTTCTGCAGCTCCCTGGGAGTGGTGGCCCTGCTGGGCACGTCCAGGGAGCTGGACAAAACCACCCTGTGCCAGGTGGACCCGCTGACCGCCTGGCCTGAGTATGAAATCGTGAAGGTCAGCCTGGGCTTCGGGGTTGCCCTTGTCCTGAAGCTGGCGTTCTTCATCCTGCTCATCGTCCAGCTGGCCTGGCGGGCAGCTCCTCCCCAGAGGGACACGGCCTCTGCTCACCTCGTCGTCCTGGCCATTGCCCTGATCATGTTTGTCTGCCGGCTCCTCTACAACATGGCGCTCCTGCAGCGGGCCAGGCTGAAGCTGCAGAGGGACATCGGCTTGCCCAGGGATGAGCTCCTCATGAACCTGGCGGAGCTGGTCCTGTTTGGCGAGAGCTGTGTGAACTCCCTGGCCACCCTCTTCCTCCACAAGCCCTGCAGGCTCGCGCTGCTCTCCATCCCAGCACGCCTCACGCACAGGTGCAGGAGGGGTGAGGCCAGCAACAGCTTCTCCTTAAAGAGGGTGGGGAGTTAAGTCGGGGCCCCGGTCTGCTGGAAAGAGCCAGACGGGCAGGTGACGGAGTCTCCCCGGCGGTTAGGGAACACCGTCCATCTGTGAAACTCCAGCCCGCTCAGGGAGAGCCAGCAGCAGGAATGACTGTTGGAAGGCGCTTATTAAACACCAGCTTTCTGGCAGTCACTCAATTTATGCCCAAGCACGACCCCTTGGCCCCCAACACTCACACCTAAAGGAAACGCTGCAAGGCAGGGATGCGGTTGACGTGGGCGCAGAAGCTGGCCCCACGCAGACCTGGTCTGGCTACGATGGTCTGAACTGTGAGGGGGATTGCACGCCTCGGCTGTCTGCGAGCTGCCATCTCTCTCCACCCCTACCCCAACCAAATGACAAAGAGGGGATCTTGAAAACAGAGACATTCTTCACATAACTTTCTGACCATATTACAGTCTGGTCCTCAATGGTCGTAGCTGGTTAACCTTCAACACAGCCAGAAAGTTCGGGCCACACAAATCTTGCCAAGAACAAAGGTTTGTTTTGTCTTTTTAAATTTATCACCATTGGAGGTCTGAGAATATCACCTACAAGCTTAAAAGCCCTAAAATCATTGGTGTAAGCCCAGTGATAACAGTACCACCAAGCACTTTTTGCTCCCTGTGACCTGGCAGGTAGTTGGTGCCCCAGGAGCCCCAAGTAGGTCAGTGAAAAGCTCGGCGTTTCAAAAGCCTCCTCTTCCATTTGACGATATCTGCAGAAAGGCTAGTAACATGTGAAATATAAAAGTACAAGCTACAGTAACAAATCTTACTCCAAAGTTCACAGTCCTCATCCTTGCTGGATTTATATTAAGATTTTCTTGGTTGAATAGAGAAGGGAGAGATGCAAAGGAAAAGTGTCTCTCTGGCGTTGTGAAACCTACACCTCTGATAGCTCTGACTTTTTTTTTTTTTAATCAAGACTTTACTTTTTTAGAGCCGTTTTAGGTTCACAACAAAATTAAGACAAATGAAGAAACACCCCATAAGCCCCCTGCCCCCACATGCACAGCCTCCCCCTGTGGACATCTCCACCACATGGTGCATTTGTCACAGTCGATAAACTGCATGGACTCATCACTATGACCCAGAGTCCACCATGCACATCAGGGCTCACACTCGGTGTTGCATGTTCTACAGGTTTAGACAACTTTATAATGACACATACCCACCATTATCATCTCACACAGAGTATTCACCGCCCCAAAAATGCTCTGTGCTCCGCCTAGCCATCCTCCCCCCGAGACCCTCGGAAAACGCTGATCTTTGACTGTCCCCATAGTTCTGTCCTTTCCAGAAGCTCATATGGAAAGAATCGTATAGCACATATCCTTTTCAGACTGGCTTCTATCACTTAGTGATATGCATTTAATGTTCCCCCATGTCATTTCACGGCTTGATCCCTCATTTCTTTTTAGCGCTGAATGATAGTCCTCGTCTGGATAGCTTCTATTTTAATGAATATGCTAATGTTAACCTGTAAACTAAAGAACAAAAACATGGTTTTTGTGAGTTTATCTTCTCAATGTTTATGTATTTTCATCACTTTTTTTTGGAAGAAAGAGGATTTGGATCTTATACAGTTAAGCAGCTTCTGTAATATAACATTAAAATGTTAAATGCTTTCCCCAAACTCCCCTTCTGTTTCTTCTGCTTCGTTTACTCACACATCCATAAACCCTTATTACGGACCACGTGCAAGAAGAGGTGCTCACAGCACGCCCACTGTGGTGCAGCAGGAACACGAACGACGAAGCTGAGGGTGTGTGGAAGGAGCGCGCTCCCTCCCTCCGGCAATGATCCAGCAGTATAAACAGCATCAGGGCTGACATGTTAGGGCTGCTTCTTCACACAATATGGTAATTTTTTATTAAATGCTGGACATGGTGAATTTCCTTTGTTGAGTGAACTAAGCGTCTTCTTTACACGGGTATTGAAGCTTACTCGGGCAGACAGGTTACTATACTCACAGTTCAGCAGGATTCTTGGGAGAGTTGCTTTTTAGCTTTGCTAGTAGGAGTCAGGGGTAGCCCAAATACTCAGGGGTCCCATGCTGGGGTCTCTACTCATTGTCATAAATGTTCAAAGACATCTCCGTAGTCTGGGCAGAATTAGAACACTGACCAGCCCCACATAAGCTCTAGGAATTGTTCAGCTTATAGCCAGCCTGTGGGTGTTCTCAGCTCAGCCTTGAGAAACCTCACACTACGCGCGCACGGATTCAGACAGAGATTCCAGGGGACCGCTACCCAGACCGCAGAGCTCTTTCTTGACGTGTACGGTACCTGCCAATTCCAGCTCCCTCAGCCTCCCAGAAACCCAACCTCTGCCCCCTCCACACAGCCAGACCATCCTGCACTGCTCGGCACCCCACCGCCTCCAGAGAGGAGCCAGGGTGAACACGGGGCTCACGGTGTGTCTTCCCTTCTCTTGGAGGTCATAGTTCTGCTCCACATATTCTCCTAATGTCAGAAAACCATTGTTTCCTACATTTTATGGTTCATGGCAGGAGTATAAGTTCCCTTGTGTTACTCATGCATGGTCACAAGTGGAAGGAACTAAATTAATTTATAAATACACAATAGTAGATCCCAAAGGCTTGTTAGCTTCAGAACTCAATGAGGGGATTAAAAGTTCATGTGTGCTCAGAGCTCCTTGGAGAAATGGCTGTCCCCAGGACTGGGACAGCAAATACACAGGATGAGCCCAGAGAATTGGATGCCACTAGGTTTCTAAGTATTTCAGCTGAAGGAGTAATTTTAGACACCAAACCATAAGAATGTAAATTGGTGGTTCTCTAACTTTTTCTTTTCAGCAGTAGGAGCTTTCTTTAAACAAAAGCCTATAAAGGGGCCCAACATGAGACATTAAAAGGCCAGGCTCTGACCAGGGTGGAGGAGTGAGGAAATCAGATGGCTAGAAAAAGGTCCCCAGACCCCAAACCACCAGCCCCTGCAGTAGGCTCTGGGGTAGGGGCCTGCGGCAGCCCCTGTGACAGCCCCTGAGGTAAGCTCTGAGATAGGCCCTGTGGGAGCCCCTGAGGCAGCCCCTGAGGTAGCCCCTGTGGCAGCTCCTGTGGGAGCCCCTGAGGTAGGCTCTGTGGTCAGCCCTGTAGTAGCCCCAAGGTAGGCCCTATGGGGCCCGGGCAGCTTCCAGACGCACCATGTGAGTGTCGTCCATTTACCCCTCATCCTGTGACAGTTAGGACACACTGAGAACTGGAGCTTTTCAAGGACAGAGCTAAGAGAAAGATCTGGAGCCAACAGAGAACGAGAACATACAGGCCTTTGGCTTCCAGCAGCAGGAGGACATTCTAATCCAGAAAGAAGCGTACATGAAACCTCAACTTTAAAAAGACAAATCAGAACTGACTGGAGGAAGAGAGGGAGGGAGACGTCACTTCCTGTGGCTCCTCACCTCTCTCTGAAGATACAGCTTGGGAATCACTTAAGGTGAGGCTGGGACAAGGACCCAGATCTTCAGCCTGGCGTTCTAGAACATTCCGCCCATAAACACACCCCAGGAACTTGATGACCCCTCCCGAGGGCAGAACTCGGTGTGCGCCATCCGCCTGCACTTCTGTGAGCCACACGCACTGCGTTCTGGTTGCCACTGGCACATCACTCTCAAAGAATTAGAGGAAATGTCCGGAAAGTTCCTGGCAACAGCTAAGAGGAGCCCAGCTGTGCAAAAGTCAACACCCAGGAAACCACGGGGACTGCTCCTTTATGGTGTCATAAATACCCCAGGGTGAGTGAGGGCGAGCGTGCATCGAATGCTGGAGGGCGGGCGCAGCATGGTCATCTCTGAACACTTAAACCCGTTTCCCTAATGGAAAACTCGGTAGGAGGGGGCTGCGGGAGACCAGAACCCCGGGCTTCAGTGGGTCCGACCGGGCCAAGTTCCAGCTCTGAGGCCTGGGTGAAACTCTCCGAGCTCGGCCTTCTCATCAGTGAAATGGGACGAGAGCAGCCTCGACCCGCCAGCGTCCCACAGAGGATGACCGGAGACAGTGGATGTGACCACCCGGCACAGGGCCTAGCGTGGAGCAAGCGCTCATTCACGTTTGGATTTTAAAACTGACAGAAGGTCTTCATTCCTTATAGAAGCTTCCACAAGATCCTCTCATCCTCTACCCACAGCAACGTGAACAAGGGCTCAGTGGCTGAAATTCCTAAGATCGGGTCCTGCCCCTTATGCTAACTACACTAACTAGTTGTGCGAGGGTGGACGAACCACTTAACCACCCGGGGCTCTAAAGGGATGGGGGGGCCCCACAGTCCTGCAGCCCCATCAGCTCTGATTCCAAGCCTTAAGCACCAAATCGCCACGCCAGCCACGGGACCAGCTGTCCCAGAGCAAACGCAGCGGAAAATGCCCAGGTGCGGCTGCTGCCCACTCTTCCTCTCCTCCTGGCGCGAGGCGGAGCCTGCAGGCTGCGGGTTTGTGTGAGCAGGGAGCGGCTATTTTTAAGTGACATGCCTTGGCTATTTCAAGGTTTGGATTTTTATTTTTATTTATTTATTTAACTCCAGAGGAAGCTGTACTTTCTCATGACTCATTTCTTTCAAAATGGTGTCTCAGGCATTTTTAGTACTGAAACCATCTCGACTTTGCCGCTGGCCAAAAATACGTCTAAAATCAAATCGGCCTCGTTTATGTTATCAAGTCATTCAAAATTTTAAGAAGCCAAGATATTAGAATCATGGCTGGATTCTACAGCTGGAAAGAACTCTGAATGTTAGTATTTTTTCCATAAAAAATTTAACACAGTATTCTCGGTTGAAAAGTACGTGTATATTTCCCAAATAATGTATCTGAAAGGTGCTAAATTAGTATCCTTCAGAACGCCTTCAAGCCCGCCCGCATGGGCTCGTCACAGGACAGGAAGCTTGCGGGAAAGCCGAGCTGATCGCGAGCAGCCAGGTGACCGAGGAGCACCCGGTGCCGGACAAGCCCTCGTCCCAGCAGATGCCTGGTTTCAAGCCCGGACCCAGCTTTCTCGTCTGTGAAGAGCGCAGGCCGGCCGCCCTGGTGCCAGTGTGGCAGGAGTCTGCTTTATGCATATTCGCTGGTAAGAAAGATCACTCAGAGTTCAGTCTTAACAGCTTTAGAAAACTAAAAAGGAAAAGAGACACTAAGAGAAAAGTACGCCATCCATTCAACGGTGCCGTTTATGAAAACCCCCCAACCTGGCGAGAGCAGCCAGGCGCCGCAGCCCTGCGCACCTCACACACCTGAACCGCAGCCTGGGCACGTCTCTGGCCCTCACGGGGCGGCTCTGCCAGCCTCTGTCCAAGCTGACGGTGAAACTCCAGCCACCAGCAGGGGGGGCGCTTGGACGGTCGGCACTGGGCACTGGGGAGCACGTTTACCCGGATCGATGGAGCACGGACAGGGCACGGGGCAGGCACAGGCGGAGTGCGGGGCCCTGGGGGAGGAGGGCCCCTTGGCCAGTCACCAGCGCCCGCCAGGCAGGTTCTCCAGCGGATTCAGGGCCAGGAGACAGCAGAGCCGAGACGCTGCTACCACGAGAGCAGAAAAACGACTGATTCTGAATTCACTTGCCCAAAATACCTGCTATTTCTTGGGTTTAAGTTTCTTTCTACAAATGTCTGTGAAATTCCTGGGTTAAATTCCCTCTGTATAATTCACATGCTACTCTCTAAATTTAGGAAATTTAGGGTTTGGTTTTAAACCAGTCAGTTACTGAAACAAGCCAGAATATTTAAGTTTCAACAAATGACAGGTTAGTGTCCAAAAGAGAAACAAGACCTATTTACGATCTCTTCAAACTTCAGAAAAACCTGTATCAGTGAGTGAAGAACAGCAGGTAAACTGGGAGCCTGGATAAAAGCGCTTAGCGGGACTGAGCTCATTGCCGCCGTGTGGGAGAAAAGAGGCCAGCAAAAAAAGGGTTAACACTGGCCTTGTAGGGAGGCCACCCAGCGCAGTCCAGAGCGAATGGGCGGTCTGGGAAGCCTATAAAGCCGGCTGGCTGCTGGGCAACTCGCCCTGGCCGTCTTGTCAGCGACAATGACAGGCACCCTCGCAGGGCAGCCCTGCCAGCCCGGTCTCCGCTTCCACTCCATTCTCCGACGGGTGGAGGTGCAGAATGACCACGGCCCGCAGGAAGGGTCCAGCCGCACCTCCTGCCTTCTGTGAGCACGGTCCTGAGGCCGGCCGAGGAGCCCTCTGAGGGAGAGGAGAGGGGGCTGCCCAGAAGTGACACCCGTGGGGGTGGCCAGCCACGGCACAGGTGAGTCTGTCCTGGGTTCCTGGTTCTGCGTTTGGGTTGGTGTCATGACGGGGCCTGGGCCGAGCAGACCCAGCTCGGCAGTCTCACCAAGGTGCAGCATCTCATGCATAATGTAGGTAAGCATGGCCCTCCGGTGAGGGGGCACGGAGGCACCGAGACTCGAGGCATGCACCGCTCCCCGCGTGAGAAACCCAAACGTTGCTCTGACAATCTCAACGAGGCTACATTAAGGGCGGCTTTGCACAAAGCTTCTTTTTATAGCACACGCGGAAAGCAATATTATCCAGTACCATGTCAGATTGTGTGCAAGCAAGGATCTGTCTCACTCCGAGAAAATGAGATTACCCCGGCACGGCACTACCGTCCCGCATCAATGAAAACACTTGCCCAACCCAGAAAGTAATTGCTGGATTAATATTCCTTTACAGAGATACATGCTTGATAGCTGTTTCTAGAGCTGGACAAGCGGTGGAAATTTGAAACAAAATGATATCAAACTGTTTAATACTCATCTTCATGTTTATAAATTCATGGCCATCTTTCATGAGGATATCGTCAGTGGTAAATTGCATACTAAGGTCCTGTATGTTTTTATTAGACTATTACAAAAATAACAGTGTTTGCCTAGGATCGAAGCGTCCACTGACGCGGGAAGGAGTGAAGGAGCCGTGCTGAAACACCCGTGTGGATTTTAGCAGGCTCAGGGAAGAGAGCAAGAGCACGTCTCAGGCTCCCCGCGTCTTTAAGCTTTCCTCTAACAATGCAGTCTAAAACTTTCCAAAATCTCCACAAAGGGTAAAACAACTAGTCTGAGCAGTTTTTACAAAGAAATTAAATACAGTGGCTTTAAACACTCTGGACAGAATCTGAGAACAGTGACATTTATGTAGTTCAATTGGGATTATCTACTGAAGATGAATAAAGAATGCAAAATAACTAATAAGATCTAATTTGTCAACCCCAGCTAAGCAAAGGGTATTGAATACTTTTAAAATAATAACTGAACCAAGGCCATGATTAATCTTTCTCCTTTTTTTTAAAGCAGTATTTTCAAGCAGTAAGTCAATAAATGCCTGGTTTGGCAACACTTCAAAAATGATTCCTAATGATCTCACAGAGTAAAATGAAGACTCTTAAAAGAAAAGCAATTCAAACCCATTTTACTGTGACAAGCTGACTTACTCCGGGTTTCTCAAGCTCGGCACCACTGACATTGGGGCCGGATCTTTCTCTGGGGTGGGGCCGTCCTGTGCACTGTAGGATGTCCAGCGGCACCCGGGGCTCTATCCACTCGGTGCCAGGAGCACCCCTCCCAAGTTGTGACAACCCAAATGTCGCAGACCCTGTCCAACGTCCGCTGGCCGACTCCACAGAGAACTTGTAGGAGCACGGAGAAATGAGGCAAACGACCAGAAGCCCCCATGGAGCCACACTGACGGGCCACGTTGTAGGTGAACTACCACGTATGCCAACCCTGTCAGAAGCAAAAGTCACTAGATCTTCTTTACTCCGTTTCTAGGTTACCAAGTTTTTGGTTACAAACAGCGTTACAAAAACATATTAGGTTTTACAGTAATTTGTCAAAACATTGAATAAAATTTAAATATTATTTCCTAAAACAATTAACATTTTTATTCTTTACTCACTCTCGCTCATCCTTACTATGAAAAACAGTTTTATTTTTGGCACCCAAACTTAGGATTAGCAAGAAAGTAGATTTCTTTTACCTATTTTATTGTAAGAGAAAAGGTTCTGCTCCAATTTCCACAGTGTTCTGGATCCACTATCTTCCCAAAAAGCTGGGTTTTTCCCTTCCCATCTTATTTCTCTTTCCAACAGCTGCTGAAATAAATTTTATCTCCTCTCCCGACAAATAGTAGTTTTCCTCAGATTTCCATTCCAACATCCACGTCACTTCGTAAGCCTGCTATTCGACTATTCAAAAAAAAAAGGGCATCCACTGTGTATGCGGATGACTCACTGTCCGGTCCCCGACCTAGGAGAGCCCGCGGGAAAGGAAACGGGCACTGGGTGCGCTTAATTCTTCCACTTCAGCTCAGTGACAACCCTCTTTCAAGGCCGACCAAAGCTCGAGGCCTGGCCTTCCCTTCACCCCCTGTGCCCCCCCAACTCTGGGCCACGGGCCCTGAGAAAGCCTTATAGCCGTGAGTAACCCTCTTTTCTCTGCTCCTCCCAGGTGCCCAGGGAGGGAGCAGCAGGTGCGGGGCAGCACAGCGGCCATGCCCACAAGCGAGCGAGGGCGCTCCTCCGCACGCAGACGTTGACCTCATCTGTTTGCTCAACTTTCTGCAAAACAAACCCAACTGTCGCAAGGGCTACTTGTGACGAGCTCTGGTTTTACAAATGTCTGGCTCGCTGCAAAGAGCAGCGCCTTTCTTTCTGAAGATGGATTTATTGTTTAAAACGGATTTCTGTGGGCCTTGGGGCAAATCCTGAAAGTGGCGCGTGGTGGAGACATGGGAGTGACTCCTCCGGCGCCCGTCTTTGGCATGGAGACGTACCCCGGCGTCTACAACAGCGCCTCCCCAGAGCTCAACCTGTCCCACGTGCTGGCCGGCGCGGCCCGGGCGGACCAGACGGGCGCGCTCTCGGAGCACCAGCAGTACGTGATCGGGCTGTTCCTGTCCTGCCTCTACACCATCTTCCTCTTCCCCATCGGCTTCGTGGGGAACATCCTGATCCTGGTGGTGAACATCAGCTTCCGCGAAAAGATGACCATCCCCGACCTGTACTTCATCAACCTGGCGGCGGCAGACCTCATCCTGGTGGCGGACTCGCTGATCGAGGTGTTCAACCTGGACGAGCAGTACTACGACATCACCGCGCTGTGCACCTTCATGTCGCTCTTCCTGCAGATCAACATGTACAGCAGCATCTTCTTCCTCACGTGGATGAGCTTCGACCGCTACATTGCCCTGGCCAGGGCCATGCGCTGCGGCCTCTTCCGCACGAAGCAGCACGCCCGGCTGAGCTGCGGCCTCATCTGGATGGCCTCCGTCTCCGCCACCCTGGTGCCCTTCACCGCCGTGCACCTGCAGCACACCGAGGAGGTCTGCTTCTGCTTCGCAGACGTCAAGGAGATCCAGTGGCTCGAGGTCACCTTGGGGTTCATCATCCCCTTCGCCATCATCGGGCTCTGCTACTCGCTCATCGTCCGGGTTCTCGTCAAGGCTCACCGGCACCGCGGCCTGCGTCCCCGCAGGCAGAAAGCCCTCCGGATGATCTTCGCCGTGGTCCTCGTCTTCTTCATCTGCTGGCTGCCGGAGAACATCTTCATCAGCGTCCACCTGCTGCAGCGCACGCAGCCGGGGGCCGCTCCCTGCACACAGTCTTTCCGCCACGCCTACCCGTTAACGGGCCACATCGTCAACCTCGCGGCCTTCTCCAACAGCTGCCTGAACCCCCTCATCTACAGCTTTCTCGGGGAGACCTTTAGGGACAAACTGAGGCTGTACATTGAGCAGAAAACCAACATGTCGACTCTGAACCGCTTCTGCCACGCGGCCCTCAAAGCGGTCATCCCCGACAGCACGGAGCAGTCGGAGGTGAAGTTCAGCAGTGCGGCGTAGAGACAACTGAGCTGCACCCAGAGACAGCAGAACGTGGTGTCACTCACAGGACGGCCCCGGGGCGAGGTGGGAGACAGCCCGGCCACCTCACGCCCAGAGGTGCATGAGAACAGGCCGTGAACTCACCAGGCCCCAGCCGCGGTCACACGTGGGGCTCTGAGAGACAAGCCCCCTTGATCCTGCATGGTCACACACGGAGCTGGACATCCATCCGCATCACAGCATGGGTCAGGGACCAACGGGAGAGGGCATGGGACCAGTGTGGCACTCTCGCCCCTCCCTGCGCACACCGCATCCACAGCCGCGGACGGTGCTGACGTTGGCCAATGAACGCAAAGAGGAGGGGGCGCTCGGGATGAAATACCTATATATCGGCCATAAATCTGCCACCTTGGGGAAAAATGAAGTGTGGAGTCAGAATACACTCATCTGACCCACACGGGATACTGTGGTGCGTGCTCCACGTCTGTGGCTGATACTTTACTGGTGCAGGTCAACTGGCGCACCAGGAGGTAAAGAGGAAGAGGAGAAGTTTCTCCTGTGCACCCGAGCATCTTCACCTCTCAGGCTGGCCACCTGGCCGCCACCTGGTGAGTGACAGCCTCGCACTGGGGCTGCCTTGGTCACGAGGGCTCTTCTGCAATGGAAGGCCCGCCCGCCACTCTCCTGGACCCCCACCTCATGGTGACAGTCTCTGCATCCACCTTACCGTGGGACGAGCCTGTGAGAGGGAGCTCAGCGGGATGCCACGATGAGACACTGAGACGTGCGTGGTCAAGAGTTGGCCTCTACAAAATGATAGCGGGAACGACGATGACGGCAATGCAACCAGTTCTCAGCAGAACGTGAAAACAGAAAAACTAACGAGGGCTAGGAGTGTCCCGTTGTGTCAATAAAATATAGTCACGTGCTGATTCCTCTAAAGTCTCTAAGTAGCTCCTTAAGGGTGGGGGGTGTGGTAGGGGGCTCTCAGAGCCTCAGTAGCAGAATTGCTTCTCCCTCACAAAGAAAAAATGTCCCCCCAGCATCACAAGGCTCACTCACCACCCAGAGAACTCTGATGAGGCCAGCATCTAAGTGCAGCCGCCTGAACACAGACTGGCATCTCTAGGATGGCTGATACTTCTGCTGCACAACCTCTGGGTACCAAAATAAGTTTCGGTGCAAATGCACCATATACCCTTGCTTTTCTAGAAGGTTCCACGTTGTCAGGATAAGCCATGGTGTCTGCAGTAGCTCAAAGCACTCAGGAGGCACCTGAGCTGGCTGGGGGGCTCCCTGAGTGTGAAGTAGGCAGGAGCCCGATCTGAGTTGGCTCCCACTCCTCCCGCCCCACCCACTCTGCTGAGGGGCCACCTCCCCAGAAGTGCAACCAGGACAGGGCACAGCTGCCCTGGGGGGGCCTGCGAGGGTCTTCACACGGGGAGGGCTTCCCGAGGGAGAAGACGAGGGGGTAATGTTCAGGTCTCAGGGGAACAAGTCGTTGGTAGTCCTACCAGGGGTTGATGGGTGACTCTCCACGGGAGGGAGACCGTGACAGAGGGACATGTGCACGCAGTACACTGGGAGCTTGCGACGTGCCGTCTCCAGTGAGTGGTTCAAGGGTTCAGACTCACTTTCTACGTAAACATCCCAATTCTAGCAACAGGACGACTAGCAGACCCCCACCAGGCTGGTTCCCTGCACTAACACGTCCAGTTACTGGGGAAAATCACGTGGGCGGCTGGACAGGGCTTGCCTGTGGCCCTGTCTCACAGAGCACCTACCCTCCCACTGGGGGGAGGGTGACGCTGACTCAGGCGCCACAGCCCCTTCCTGTGAAGACCCCTTCCCCTGCCTCTCCAGAACCTCCCACATCAGCACGTCTACAAGGGCAGAGCCGCCATCTTGCAACAGGTGCTTTTCCCTCCATCCTCCGAGCCCCTTGGGAGATGGCTCTCCCCTTCCCCAGAGTGCCATTCCAGAGCACAGGGCCCGGTCAGATCAGACGGCCATTCCCCAGCACTGCAGCCTGCAAACCCCGACAGGGAATATTTTAGATGAGTGCTCATTACTAAGTCCCCCTTTGAGCTCAGTGTTGGCAACTCCAAACAGCAGAAGGCAGACCCAGACTGGAGCGCCAGCACCACGATCTGACTACGTGCAAGGGATCCATCAAACGCATTCATCGTTCTCACCCCAGCTAGAAAGTGGCGATGCAGAGACACTTTAAAAGTACGCAGAGTAGAGACCCAGGATGTTTAACCTTTAGCTTTTATGGGGGCGGGCAGGGTGGGGAGACAGACACTGTATGAGAATAAGGCCTCGTCCCTGATCCTTCCAATAAACGCACGAGGCACATACCGTCCCCATTACTCAGAGAACCTGATGCTGTAAGAGTCTATAGCTGCTCAGAATCTGAAATGGTGATGTGGCCAGGAACCAGCCCGTCTCCAAAGTCCCTGTCCCTTCGTCCACAGCACTCGGCAGCCCTGGTATCAAACAGGAGAAAGCAAACCACGCAGAAACCACGTGGAGCCAGGGCACACCACCATGTGCGCCAAGAGGTCACTCAAGGTCACGGGCCGGATCTCTTCCCAAAGGAGCATCAGGCAGGACATGGGTGGGTGGGCGGCAGAATGGAGATCCCCCCAAGGATCTGTGGGCGGGACTGCATCTGACCAAACCCCAAAGCCATCGACCCAGGACAGGCACCTCGTACCTCCAAGGCAGCCTCCTGGGCCAGCTGGGACTGTCCCGAGCCCCTCCCCAGGCTACAGGGAAGGAAGCTTCCGCCCAGAGGCCCCGGGTAACCACCTCTGAGACCACACAGCACAAGTCTCCCCCTGGCACGCAGACGCTGGCCCTGTGCTCGTAAGCCCCCCCCCGCTTCTGTGCCTCCTCCCCGGAGGTCTCTGCAGTTGGCACTCGCCCCAGGCACAGGTCAAACAGGGCCGGAAGCCAGCTCCTGCCCCTCACCGCTCGAAGCCCATTTCCTGACCTGTAAATCTGGCTGCAGAACTGCTCCAAGGGTCAGAGCACCCCAGCGGAGCCCGCGGCCGCTAGCAGGGCAAGCGCAAGGCAGAGGTCCTGACGTAACAGAAAGGGATTCTTTCCGAGCCAGAGGTTGACCAGGTGGCCTCGGAAGTCTCTTCTGACCCTGAGACCCTAGAGCTCCCGTCTGGGAGACAGTGCCAAGATCACAAGCCCCACTGGGCTCTGCGACAGCCTACCCGGCCGTCCCAAAGCACGCCCTCGCAGAAGCACCCGTCCGAGAGTGGGGCCTATCTGATGGTTTTGGCAGGAAGACCACAAGATAACATCAGAGCGTCCGACTGCCTGCCTGCCTTCTTCTGGTCACCAGCCCCCTCTGCACCAGTGCCCCGTAAACCCACTGACAGCTCAATGCACAGAGCTGTGAGTACACGAAAGCTGTGTCAGCTCCGAAGAGGACTTCATAACTGTCTGTGAGCCTCATAATTCTCTCTCGATGAGGCGGGTGACTCGCCCGCCCCGTCCGGCCCCCGCGGACCCTCAGTGAGGCGTGGCAGCGTTCGGTCCACAAAAACCTCCTGGTGTACGTTCCTCCCATCTGAGGAGGGAGGGGAGAGAACCGCACACAAACTTCCTCGGGTGGCTGCCTGCTGAGCAGAGGGGGAGAAGAAATCCTGAAGCTGCTTTAAACCTACGGCAAATGAGCACATTAGCAAACGTGTGGATGGTCTAGCAGCCAGAGTTCTCGCAGTGGAAGAGGGAGCTGCAAATACGGCAGGGAGAAGGGCAGGCAGGGAAAGCCCCGTGGGAAAGGGCGGGACTGGAGGTATCCGTGAAACCTAGGATTTCTAAAATAAGAATATGTACAGGCAGGCACACGTGTACACAGATGTGTGTGTCCTGGGTGTGAGCATGGATGAACGGGCACACACAGTGAGTACGCACCTGCACGGAGTGTGTGTAAACAGACACAAACACACACGTGCATATATTCCCCAGCTCTGTCTGCTCTAAGGGGCTAGAAGAGAAGACCTGGGTGGCTGTGGGCCCACCTGGCCCCAGACCTTGCTCTCTAACACCCTTACCCTCAAAAAGGAACCCAGCTCCTTGGAGAAATGGCCAAGTCGGGCCAGGGCAGGAAGGTATGAGATGAGCCTTCGAACATGGTGTCCTGCCAAAAGGTAAGAAAAGCTTCAAGAGAATGACAGGGCCACACCAAAAGGACACAGGGACCCACCTGAAGGGTTCCCACTGGCCAAATCTGGGGCAATTTGAGCCCCAAGATAATTAGGAAGAGTAAATAATTATAAACCATTGAAAAATAAGAATCCATGAGTCCATTCCAATAATAGACAGCTATAAATATAATTTAAATAAAACAGACAACGAAATAAACACAATACAGTAACACACAGGAATGAATGAATGGATGGACAGCTGGATGGTGGATGGTGGATGGTAGATGGATGGATGGATGGATGGTGGATGGATGGGTGGATGGATGGATGGTGGATGGATGGTGGATGGATGGGTGGATGGTGGGTGGATGGATGGATGGATGGTGGATGGTGGATGGTAGATGGATGGATGGGTGGATGGGTGGATGGGTGGTAGATGGATGGATGGATGGGTGGTAGATGGATAGATGGATGGATGGGTGGATGATGGATGGATGGATGGTGGATTGATGGTGGATGGATGAATGGATGGTGGATGGTGGATGGATGGATGATGGATAGATGGATGGTGGATGGATGGTGGATGGATGGTGGATGGGTGAATGGTGGATGGGTGAATGGTAGATGATGGATGGTGGATGGATGGTGAATGGTAGATGGTAGATGGTGGATGATGGATGGTGGATGGTGGATGGATGGTGGATGGTGGATGGTAGATGGTAGATGGTGGATGATGGAGGGTGGATGGTGGATGGATGGTGGATGGTGGATGGTGGATGGATGGATGGATGGATGGATGATGGATGGTGGATGGTGGATGGATGGATGGATGATGGATAGATGGTGGGTGGATGGGTGGGGAGGACTCATGCTTACAGCAAAATGGGGAAGAGTGCAGGAGCGGGGAACGACATTCTGCAACTGTCGCAGGGAAGACGGGCAGGCAGGAGCCCCTAGAGTAGCCCACACCAGGGGACACGACTAGAAGTAGGACGTGCAGAGCCCCTGTGTACCCCCACCTCCCCGACTGCTTTAACACTGGGGGGACAGTAACCACACAGCAGAGACATGGGATAGCACACCCAGGGCGCTTACAAGGAGCCCACTCCAGACGGGGACCCTGAGAAGGGCATGACATCTCCACGTCCTCATCCAGATCACAACTTGAATCTAATCAGGGGAAAGAGCAGAAAATGCAAAACGGGGACAGGCTATTCACCCAAACTGTCAATGTCTTAAAGGCAAAGGAAGGCAGAGGAGAGTTCAAATTAAGAGGAGTTGAGAGGTACAGCAACTAAATGCAGTGCGTGAGCCCAGACAGGATGATCTGCCGGGAGGAAAAATGCTGCAAGGTGCCACGGGGTCAACTGACAAAAGCGCAACAGCTGGGAGGCCTGAGGCCTCGTACGACCACTCAGCCCCCGAGACTGAGCACTGTCCTGTGGCTACGTGAAATGAAGCTCTCACCGCACGGAAACACACATCACAGCATTCACGGGTGGGGCGGCACATGCAGAAAGACAGACCGTGAGTGCAAGCATGCACACGAACGTCACAGCAACGGGACAAATGTGTGCAATGTCGACTCCATGCCCAGGTATGGACTGGAAAGAACTGGAACAGGTGTTCCAACAAACACTTGCGCACGAACGCTCAACAGCATGATTCACAATAGCCAAGAGGTGGAAGCAACCCACGTGTCCGTCAGCAGATGAATGGATGAGGAAAATGTGGCCCAGCCATAAAGTGGGGCAGTATTTGGC